TCTCACTGAATCCTATCTTGCCTTGAGGTCTCATTTTCTGGGATCTCTAACCCTAGAAACAGATCCATTGCTCTAGGGAGCAAAACTGTAACCTCAACCAGTAACTCATACCTGACTTTTTAAACAGGGCTGTAATTGTGCTAGAGGGAAAGGTTTTAGCTGGTTTCGAGAGGTGTAGTTCCTGAGATAAAACAGACACTGCCATAGACTATTCCTGCCATATGGACCTTGTTTTGTAGGACAGCTGGAGCATAATTCCCAAGAGGCAGCACTTGGGCATGCCCATTAAGTACATTTGATGAATCAATAGTAATTTTTAACTGAATGTCTTAATCACAAGAACAGTTGGAATGGAAGAATGGAAAATCCAAACTAATTACGTCTTTCTAGTCTAAAAATAAAATTGAGGGGAATGCAGCATTTTGTTAAAACAATCTATTTCTATGTAAGAGATTATTCTCGCTATGATTGACCATTCCCATAATGAAGTCAGTGAATATGCTATGACTGAAATGAGGAAGGCAATCTATTAATAAAAGATGAACAGTCTCCTGTGCAGCTAACAACTTAGTATTTAGTCCATACCCCAGGTTTAATTGGGATATGGAAGTATGGCAAAAAACTGCATAGAATTTCAATGTTTTGTATTTTTTTTTTTTAAAGCAGAAATCATATCATAAATCTTCTATCATATTAATTTGTGTGTGTATAGATATTTACATATATATACATACACACAAACACACACGTGTATTTACTATTTCTCTGGATTATGGTCTCATTTATATTATATGATATTCAGTAAGATCAATGTGATGGCATAGGCCAATCCCTTCAAGACATTCAAAGCTACCAGGTATAGCTGTGGTGTAAAACCCCTAGATAATTAGATGGCAATCCTTTAAGTACATACATTTCTAATGATTTGAATGTGTTTCCTCAGACAAAAACTATTACCTCATGGTTTCAATATCTCAGACAACATTGTCATTTTTAAAAGGTATGTTAGTTAACAACCGTGGTGCTCAGTCAGGATTGACGCCCTTTTCTGTGGTATATGCCACGCAAAGAGAAGGAATGATAAAATCCAGGATGCATTTATGCTGTCTTTGATTCCTGTCAAATTCCTGAAAGTTATCATTGTAAAATGAGTTTCACTTTTATGCTGAGACCAACACAGTCTGTAATGCCTTAATTTGATGGAATTTTCTTAAAAGTTATTATTTACAATGGAGACGTGTAAAGTTTGTATCAATTCCTGCCAATTAAAATAGAGTGTTAATATAGTCTATTAATATTAGCATAGGTATTAAAATAGAGATAGCAGAGCATCAGATGACACTATTGTGGCAAATAGCATAGTGGATAGGCAGGGAATACAAAAATAAATACAATATAATGTCACATGGGATTTTAATTATTATTTACATTGATTTACTAAAGTTTAAAATGTATGTCTTTACCAGAGAAAACACAGACAACCAAAATATAAACACTGAAATATCAACTACATTGGCAGCATGTTACATGTTCTTATTGCCTAGACATTTTTGAAGGACCTGAAGCAGCAGAATAAGGGCTCAGAGACACCACCTGGTTCTCCCAGCTTAACAGGTTACTCCATGTCAGCTGAGCCTTGCTAACTACCTCCCTGTGGGTGGCAAAGGCAAGCTAATATGGTTTATATTAACTGCCCTTAACTGTGGTCTCAGCTAAGACAGATTGCACTGCATCAGCTCCAGGCTAAGTGTGCTTCCCTGGACACCTCTACCTGCAGCAAATCGTTGAGTCACAGTAACCTGGTTGTTTGCCCGGAGGGATCAGCTAGCATCGTCAAACAAGTCTTGCAGTGATCACTTAAGATATGACCAGCCCAAATTATCTGCTTTACCCCATGACAGTGTTTACTTTCCTACAGCAGAGCTGCAAATGAGCAGTATATCCACACCTCCCTGCCGCAGTGCCTTCAGATGACAATGAAGACAAACCAGTGCTGACATAGTTCAGGATGTGGGAACAGTCCTCCAAAAGGCAGGGCTGAGGGCCTTATTGTGCCTCAGGAGCATTAAGCAGATGGTGTCTATAAAAGCCAATTCACCATGGAGTTAGGAGACCTGGGTACAGCTCTCACTCAGCAAGATGCTTCAGTCCATGCCTCACTTTAGCTCACTAAATCATCCCTCTAAATGCAACGAAGCCTCCTACATGCTCACCCCACATCTGAACACCTGGCTAAACACCTCGCTTGTATCCCTACTGCCATCCCGGGGTGACCTTGATTAAGCCTATGAGGAGCTCATTGTACCAGGGTGTTGCTGGGGCCAAGAATTTAGCCAGGTTCAAAGAAGAATTGGAAACTTAAACAAATAACACGATTATCCAGAGCTATTAAAGCTAATACTAACAAAAACTTTGGAAGAGAGGTAAAGCCTCATGCTTCTGGGTGTAGGCCAATCTCTAAGTACACTTACTACTAGCCTAAGACCTCCAGTTACCTAAAGCTGCTCACAGTGATCTTCCATGCACTGTTCTCTGAGCATTGGCCATCATCAAAGAAAGAAAAAAGATCAGACGTAATTTCAACCTCATCCAAAACACCAATTTCGTCATTTCCTAAATTGCTAAACCCTCTCAACCTGTTCTTTTTTTAACCTCTAAAATGGGAAATCTTCAACTTCAGAGGGGAATTGTGAGTGCTTAGAAGTGCTTGGGTATTGGATCCTGCCCTACATGGCAGTGCTGTGAAGGTAAGATTCACAGACTGCACACTACCAGTAGCAACAATAATAAGCTTAAATCATGCAAAGATAGTAACTGATTGGAGTGAACTGGTTTGCTTCTCAAATTGTAGTCTTTTATTATGTCCGTAGCTAACAAGGCTAAGCCCTTTAAAATTTTCTTTCCAAACAGAAGGATACAAATGACAGCTCATTTTTGGGAAGAGAATTTATCTTACTGAAAAAAGGCCTCATTAAAAATAAAAAGTTTCAAGGAAAATAGAACATTTTTCTCCTCAAATTGCGCATTTCCACTTGTCTTCTGAATTCTTTGTCTACTAAAATCCAGCTTTTTGGATAGATGACAAATTTCTAATGCCATTTCAGTGCACATTTGGTTAAGAACTCCATCAAATAATACACTTATTTCAATAAGTGTAAAATGTGTTTTCATTTTATCAGGATCATCAATAAATGTAAAAATCGTTCATGGATGAGTTTCACACAATATTAAAATTCTGGGGGTTTGCTATCAAACTGTTAAAAGAATCAAACACCTGTAGGCAATGGATAGGCATCTACAGCTAAGCTGCCAAGTTGAAACTGTCACTGTGTTCTTTGTTTAAAATATAGGGTTAATCATGTCAGTGGAATGATTTAGTTGAACGTGTTCAATTGTTTGCAAGTTTGATATCACTTATTTCGGAAAATAGAGGACTGTTGAGATACTGGCGTTCATATGCTCTAATGCTGTTATGCTTTCATAACTTCTGATTATTGGAGTCATGAGACAAATTTGGATTTTTTGCATGTTAGAGTCCAGTTGTATGAAAAAACAAAGCATGAGCTCTGTGCTGCATTCAGCTATGAGCATGCTTATAGATATAGACAATCACAATTATGTTAATGAAACTTAAAAATATGTATCTGTTACAATTAAATTCACACAGCCCTCCTGGCATGGACACATGTAAAGATGCTTTATATTGCTATAACTGCCACTTCTAGTGATATAACTGCATTCACACTGACTTACATTAATTAAAACCAAATCGCATCGGAAGTTAAAGTCACACTGGTTTAGTTTTTGCACTTTAATGGAGGCATAAAACCTCTGAAAGGAGATTTCTGCTTTTTTGCAGTGACTGGCATTTTAAAGAGTCTGGAGACAAGCATAGAGTGATAAATTATCACTAAGAAGACAGTGATTAAAAAAAGTATGCAAAACTAGTGCACAACAGAAACACTGTCCTTCCAGCGAGGAGTGAAACAGGGAACAGGACAGTTGCATGAATTTTCCTGCGAAGTCTTTAGTAGCCAGACTAATCCCAGAGACAGCTCGTGCTGACCTTTACACACATACACGCAAAACTTTCTGGGAGACTTTCCTCCCCCAGTCCCTTGCTTACTTCATCTCCCAGCAGGGCTGCCTTCTGGACCTGGTGATCCTGCTTCCGTACAAAGGGAGAGAGCCTCCACCTACCTTCTCTCCTTCCCTCCCCGGTTCCTCACTCCCGCTCTCCCCCTCGGGCTGGCAGGATTCCTCGGGCAGAGCATGCAATCAGTTTGCAGGGAGCAGCCGCAGCCACAGGAAAGATGCAGAAACACAGTCAGAAGGAGCACCTCTACAAGCTGCTGGTGATCGGGGACCTGGGAGTGGGCAAAACCAGCATCATCAAACGCTATGTCCACCAGAACTTCTCCCCGCACTACCGGGCCACCATCGGGGTGGACTTTGCCTTGAAGGTGCTGAGCTGGGATGCTGAGACCGTGGTACGGCTGCAGCTCTGGGATATTGCGGGTGAGTACAGAGGAGAACCCTTTGCCCCATAACCCATCCAGAGACAATACAAAATATAGACCCAAATTTGTCCTAATCTTTAAGTTGGAAACTACCAGTGCCTATGTGGTGAGGGAGAGGAGATTGAGGAGAGAAAACTTTAAGGGCAGATTGTCATTTTTGGAGTTTCCCTAAAGCCAGCAGACCCCCAAACAAGGGGTGTCAGAATGAAACCTGCCCTGCCTGACTTTTCTCTAGATGTGTGCGGGGACACGGGCACCTCGCTCCAGATGCCCCAGTTCTTCCCTGGCAGTTGCCGCAGCTCAGCTTCCCTCATTAGACTAACAGATCTCTGTGATGGGAGGGAGAGTAACAAGAATTTCCTGTTACATCTATTTAATTTGGTGGAAGAGATGAGGGATACAATAAGATGGTTAAAATTATTTTATAGTCTAAAAAATAAGGAAAAAGTATCACAGAGTTTCTTTATCAAAATACCTTCTTCCTTTCCTTCCTCTCTCTCCTACCTTCCTTCCTTCGGCCCAATGAAATGTAAACAACTTCTGACATGCTTTGAAAAGAGAAGTGTTTCTATTTGGTAATAATCCTGGTTGTTAAAAATGTATTTACTCATGTTTACCTGTCCTTATTCCAACATCAAGCAAAAAAAGATAATTTACTCTATGCAGGAAGAAAAACAATAAAGAAGTCCAGCTATCCTTGCATGCTTACATAACTAAAAAACACAGAATTTGACATTGTTGCTGTCAGTGCTTCGGATTTTTTATAGTTGGCTTCCAATTAAAAACACAACTTATTTTTGCCACTCCCATTATTAGGAATTAATCATTTTTATTCAGTCCACAAAATAAAAGTTTATCTTGATGGCATATTTCGCATGCTATAAGTAATCATTTTTCATTTAGTGTACATAGGAATCCAAGTTCAGCTGTAACACAATAGCTTACAGCTAAAAGGAGGGTGTTTTAAAACCTCAATTAAATTACAAAGTTACATTTGTTAAGTAGGGAATAGTGGTGAAAATTATATCAGCTGTTAGGCAACTGTGCCAGCCTGTGGCCTGAGCTGTGGGTTCAATGATCTAGTCTGGAACGGCACAGAGTAAAACTAGTGAAATGAGAAAATTCTTGACATTCTTATCGGCGGAGGGAGTGCCTTTCTTCTGCACTTAGCTGCCTCATGTCTGAGCTCTGAATTTGGCACCAAGGTACCAAAACTTATGCAACAACACTGCTTTATGCAAAAGATGCATAACCTCAGCTTTTTTACACGTCAGTAGTGTCTTCTGGTTTTATGTTATTAAATACATACATGCTCAGTTTTCTTTATTAAAAGTTGGAATAATGGGGAAAGCATTGCTTTTATTGCTCACCAGTGACCAATTATAACCATAAATACATACACATCTGACAAAACTTTGCTGCATGAGAAAAAGCATTTAATAGTAAATTCTGAATGCATCAGGGACTTAAAGAATGTATTTGCATGCCTTGTTGCAGAGATTTATTACACTACTAATCATGTGCTGGCAGATCATATGATGTAGCTTTCAGTCAGGCTGCAGAAGCAATTACACCAAGTTGTAGTACTGAATGGCTAGCATGCTTTCTGAGTTATCACACATGACAGAGAGAATTACAGCATAGTACTAAATTTCGTATGAATTGCTCAATTCAAAGCATCTCTGTGAAGGTCAAGACAGTGGCCGGTAATAAAAAGAGTTGCTGTCTCTTTTTAATGACTTTTGTGTAAGGAGCTTTAGCTGTTGATGGCTACACATAGAAAATAAGTTCTATAAGCAACACACTGAATTCAGATCAGTGTGGTGCTGGCATAGAAGTTATCACAAATAAGGCATCCGGCTGGTGAGAAAAAAAGTTCTTTAAAAATGAAAGTGAAGTAAAACTGATTGGAAATATGGAGGGAATGGAAGTGTTTTGTTCTGGCTGTGGCTGGTCACACATCACCACTTGCAAAACAGAAATATGCGAGGATAAGAGGGAGGAAAATAAAATCTCTTGTCTCAGAACATCCTCTCTCTTTTGGCAGAATCTCTGTTATTAGGTCATGTTTAACTTTGGGGGTAAAGCAATAAATTTTCAGTCTCTAACTGAGCTGAAGGATGTTGGTTTAGCATTTAGGACATCTTGAATTGAAGCAAATGCTGCAAATGTATCACTATATGAATATATATGTGTGTGTGTATATATATATATATATATCAGGTATCATTTTAGCTCTTACATCCTCTCCTCCCCTCCTCCATTATACAGCCAGTGAACTTACTGTTAAGCGCAATGTGTACTTTTCCTTGCACTTCACTGTGTGGATCAGTGGGTAGTAAATTGTTTATCAATCTAGAAATAATTTTCTCAAAAATGTTTTGAGTAAAACTAGTGTCAATCTTATCTACATTATTAGTAGGATTTACATACATGGTGACTTCATGGGAGGAGTGACATACTCCAGCCGTGGTAGGACCAAGCAGTTTACCCTTGTTTACCCTTACAGACTTAAGAAGAAAAAGCAAATCTGGCTCACTTGGTGCCATTTAATTTCATAGTTAAATGTAGTTTATATTTCTGTAACATATTTTTCTGTATTCTTTAATTTGGTAAACAAAATGCTGAAACTGCATTTATTTAGATGACAGATAAGTGCTGAACAGTAAGGATAACTAAGCATTAGAAAATTTATGTCTGATCCAGTGAAGTGCCTAAGGTTTCAAACGACTGAATTTTCGCTATTTTGTGTGGGAGGAGATATACATGGTAAACTTCTCCTTGTCTTTAATTTCCTCCCAACAGTTCCATTTTATTTCATTGAAATTTCATCCCAAGTTCTCACTTTTGGTGTTCCTGTCGCTCTTAAAGCATGCCATCACCTTTACTGCTGTATCATACATCTTTATATCTTGCTTCTCAGTTAATTTTTTTTTGTTTCCTTATTTTTTCTGCTGCCTCTGTGTGAGTGTCCTTTAAATTCATTAACAGATTGTTAGAAGGAAAGCTTTAAAAGAAACTCTTCATCATATTTTGAACAAGGCTGCTGTGATGGGGGTGGTCCTGCAGATGCAGGCTGGGATCGCTTTTGAAGAAACCAACTATTGCAGATAGCAGATCCGGGTGTATTCTCTCTTCACTTCCCTGCAAGGCTGCTCTCAGTGCTACTGTCCACGTTTCATGTCCACACAGCGCTGAGATTTCTCTGAAGACCAGTTTTAGCTGCAGATTTACTGCAGGGAGCAGCTCTGTGAGTGCAATGGAGGGCAGAGCATCACTTCAGAGCCTTCCCCCTCCCCTGCTACTTTTTCACAGCTGTGTCAGCATCACCGTTATCCCTCCTACTGCGTATCTGTGGGCTGGATTATTCATTGCTACCAAAAATATGTTGGTTTGCTTTTACAAGGTGGGATCTCATCTCATAAACAGCTGGTCCAATGCGTTGGAGACATCCACACACCACCAGTGATGAAAGAACAGTTTCATTTCCTTCCCCTGCAACTTGCACCTTTGGAAACAGCAATCTTTGCACAGATACAGGCAAATGTCTCTGAAGTTGTAAAGTTTTTAAGACTATTATGCTCCAGAAGGAGTAAATGGACTGTTCACTAATGCCAGGCACAGCACATCCTCAGCAGTTGAGGATTTTAGTGGCTGCTAAGCATTGCAGTAGGTATGCATAAATAAGATAGTCATGGTGATTTCTAGGCTAAGTTATCTTGAAATTAGTGTTCTGCAAACATAAATAAGTCCCTTGCTGTGATGGTTTTATTTCAGTGTAGATCTGTGGTGGGATCCATGGGTCTGATCCTGCTGACAACCTGCTTTTCCACATTCTGGGGTGGTGAACACCATTTCAAGTCTGGCTTAAGTTTCAATTCATAAAGACAATAACTTGAATTCAAGGGTGAAAATCCTGGAAGTTATTTTGAAGTGAAAGGTAAAAAATGTTTAAATCTTCTCCAAAATTTCCAGCTTCTCAGTATTAGCTAAAGGCCCTCTGTAAAGCACGGTGGTTCCCAGAAGCTTTTGCCTCTTAGGATGAGCGATGGTGGCAAGAAATAAAACCCGTTGTAAAACTGGGCATTAGGCAGTTTTAATCAATTTTTATCTTGCACTATATTTCAGATACTGTGGGCGAGACGGTGGAAATTATCTGAGTTTTAGCACTTTATCATTAGTTTTTATAACTTTATCAGAGATTATAGCGGTTAATGGAAACTGCAGATTTCTGTACGAGTCATGCTGGCAAATTTATGTGGGATGCATTTTTACAAACTATGAAGATTCAGCTGTTGATTGCTTTAAGCCCACGAAATAATACCTTTCCCTGCTGCAGAGCTGCCACTGAGATTAGGTTAAATGTGCAGGCAGGCGCCATTCAGACAGGGAGTCCTTCCCTTTAATGGAAATCTTGTTGCTTTGGTTCCTTGGTCTCACTGGGTTCACTTCGAAGTGGGGTAGGATTCATCTGGTTTAACAATTAGATGTCTTGTACTGAACCATTTGAGTATGGGCTCGCCAGGGAATTGAGGGTAGAGATTAAATACCTCCATAATGAAGCTTATGTGACCACTCTTAAATGTCTATCCTTGCTGAGAAGATGCCCTCTAGATATCTCTTCTCAGTCTCTGACTACAAAGGGACCCTAATCCTAGATACACCCAGTTAATTTTTAGGAACCTGAATTAGGGCTGATGAATCCCAACATAAAGCACCGTCTCAGTGGGCAAAGGCCATCAGACTCGTGGGTTTGATGCCAGATGCCAGTGGCCTTGCAAGGGATGCAGTTAAGTACAATGGGCCAGATCAAACAAACATCTCACAAGTTTCTGACCCTTGCAATGAAAACCAAAACCACCTTCCCCTGTCCCTCTTGCAATAAAGCAGATACTAATATTCAAGGCTGCCTGCGAGATACCACTGAATACCTAATGGTTGATCTGTTTTCTAGCCTAATTACTGCCTAAGCCATTGTGTTGCTAAGGCCAGATTCTG